ACTTCATTGCACAGAGGATCTGCAGCCACACACCTGCTGTCACTTTGACTACAGATTATTTTGAAATTGCATAAATGAACATATTAAGTGGAGTGAAACATAACATAGAGAACTGAGACTGCATCTTGGCTCTTGGCATGATCCGTTGTAGGAAGGCTACCCAGAAAATGTTTGGGGCACTCTAGCAAAAGTCTCCTGGCTCATGACTGTCTCCTGCAGCACAGTCCCTCTGCTCTCACAAAACTACTTACCTCTGTGTTCTTTATCAACATCACTGATACTCTTAGGAAATGCTTGACACAAAATAAGTAAAGCATTCTGAAATACTATTTGGCAAGGTCAGACTTACTTTGCTAGTTACAAATCAGTCAAATATAAATGCCTTTCCTTCTAAGAAAGCGCATTTAGTTTGATCCACAGCACTTCCTCATGTGAGTGATTCTCCTTAAACACATCTCAATGGCTCCATATGTCTTTTATAAATTCCAACTTCAACCGTGTTACTACATTCTGAGGTCAAGCTCAGAATCCTCACTGTCAGCATGGACACATGATAGAACTATGTGGAACCAGATTCTTCAAAATATACTTGATTTTAAAATTCTGCTCCAATTAGGGCATGTGGCCTTTGCTGAAAAATCCTCTCTCCCCTTCCATTCCACTGAAAACAAAATTACTCATATCAGCATGGAAAGGATAAGAGTGTCTGTGTTCCTATTTATACCTGAAAATTAAATATTTGACTGTTTGAAATAACTTCTGAAGAATGGACACTAAAATATTCTAGACCTTTACAAATATTTTGGTCAACCCTTTTCAGGTGGGGTAGCCAGAACTCAGGGCTTATGTTTTTTTTTGGCAATGCAGGTTCATGAGCTGGACCTTTGCTTCCTGCTAGCAAAGGGCAATCATATTCATCTCTGAAGATCACCCACAACTTATACCCAGCAAAAGGACCTTCTGTCACTCCCATACAGCTGAAAGAAGGACAGATGGAACCTCTCTGCACTTCAGTGGTTCCCAGCTGCTTTCCTAGTCCAGGTGTCTGGTGGCAGTGGCAGGTAATACATCCACCACTTTTCTGACTGCTCCATCCATAGCTGGGCAAACAGACTCTCTTCAGGCTGCTCCACACCTGGATGGTCCTTTTACGCTTTCATGCTCATACTGACACTGTGGCTATATACCCTGCTTAGGGCAGGCAGCCTGATATGGTGAGTACTTGTAACAGGAGTGGTGTTAAGTGGATTATATACATAAACAGTTTTCAAAGCCACATCCGTTTTCCTCAAAGGAAAAGTTGCACATTTGACTCAAAGTCTATTTTCAGTATCAGTTATGATCATGTGGAAAACCAAAACCTTATGTGCAGGCTTCTAAACAAAGGCACCCTCACCTGCAGTTATTGGCTTCACTTAATTCTATCCAAATAATTAGATTTTTATGGGAAAAGTACCTCTATGGAGGATTTTTCACATTCACACACTAACACACATATAATATAGATACAATTTTCATTTTTTTATTCTTTACTACAAAGAATTTAATTGTATGGTTCAGGATCTTTGCTGTGCAAGTAACCTTCTGCATCATTAGATATATTTCCTTTGGCACTAAAGCTTAGTGAAATATCCACAACAGCCCAAAAGCTACAGGAAATTCATCTTCAGTTTCCAACATAGTATTGGAATTCTTGCTATATTCACTGAAAAGATCATCAAAGGTCACAGATTTGGATGTACTGGAGAAGACACAAAGTTTTTTTTATCATAATAAATGTCTAAGTAGTCTCAGTAATAGCAGAAAGGACATTCCATTTCAGAAGAATGTTTTGACATTGTTCTCCCCTAGTCACAATTAGTAGCTACTATCATTTTAACAGCTATTAGGAATGGATACATGAATTATTCTACCAGCTACAAAATAATAGGCCAAGATACTTGTAGTTGACAATTTTATAAAAATACAATAGATATTTTGTTATGCTGGCATAGAATCATGTCTTCCTATATGATTTAGGATGACGTATCAATTCATAACTGCAAAGGATCCTGAGTCATACAAAGGCTGATTAGAGATTCAAGCCTCATCAAATCTCTATAAAATGAGCCCAGGGCCTGGGTGATGTCCACATCCACACTGCATTCATATTTTGCAAGATCTCCTCTCACTGGGAAGGAAAAAGTAAAATCCTGGATTAGAAAATGCTGAAATGTTTGGACTATTTGGCTTTCTAATCACAGTCCAAATCATAAAAATGAGGACCATCTTTAGATAAGGACAAAGGAAGAAAAGGACTGGTATAAGAGAAAGAAAATCAATAAAATAAATAGATTTTTCTAAGCAGACTGTATTAGAGTTTTCCATGAGGAATCAACTATTCTTTACACACAGGTGTGTGGAACTTCTTATTGAAAGAAAAGTCTCTAAAGACATATAAACAAATGCAGGGTGTTTGAATATTGTAGAAAACATTTATAGTTTTGTTGGATTTAATCTATTTAAATTTAATCCTGATTCAATGTGAAATAGCAAAATACAAAATATAAAAAATAAAATTATAGAGAATTATAATGGAAAAGCCAGCTGAACCTTAGTTGGAGAAATAATACCAACATTAGTAGAATACAACAATTATAAGCAACACATGAATAGGTATGTATAATATATACATTTAGGGCTTGATATCTGTGGCAGACCAGTTGCTCAAGGCCACTAAAACATCAATGTACATCCAATACCAGTTAAATGTGCAAGAACTTCAATTCAAATGATCAAGAGTAGAAATTTCTGTGCACTACGCAAAATACACAGGCTGTAATGAACTTTTGACTTTGGAATATATTGTTAGCCTGTCTTGTATCAGTGGGAAGACCAGAAACTTTTATGCACATCATGAAGATATGTGGTTAAATCTGTGGCTCTGAAAAAGAAAAGTCATCAAAGACAATATAGAATAAAATTGTAAAAGGAATTGTAAAATTGTAAAATTTCCCACTCTTCTGTTCACTGAAATCCTCAAAAGTCATTCATGTTTGAGGGCTTGGTATTCTGAATACTCTTTGGATATCATAATTTTGGCCTTCATTAAGGGTAGAGATTATATTAAATAGTATTTGGCTTGCTTTTTTATTACAAAAAAACTGCATGTGATTTTTCTTAGAAAAATTAAAAATGTGATGCTACATACTGGCATTGAGGTTGAGTTTGGTCAACCACATAAAATACTTTGCATTTTTAAATGATTTTTATCAGAGGATATTCAAGTGCTTTGCTAACATTAGTCAAGCCTCACAACATCCCTGTGAGGTAGGTGAAATACATGGGAGGAGGAGGATTTCACTCAGTTTCAACATGATAATGTCTCTGGGTATTGTGTTCACTAGCACTGCAACACAGCACAAAGGTTTAGGGATTACTATAAGGCAGAGTTACCAGTACAAGAGCACCGGATTCCCTCTTCTTTTGGTTAAGTCAAGCTAACATGCTACACAGCACTGAACAACTGAAAAAAGCCCACACCAGGATTTCAAACACCACCCAGTCCACAAACAACACCCTCTGCACAGTAAAAGATACACAATGACAGGCACAAGATGGGTATGACAGCTTAGTTATGGAATGGGTCTACTAGTTCTTGAGGAGCACATTACCATGGGAATGAGAGCCCAGAGAATAATATTGTCTCCACACAACCCTGAAAATACCTGAAGATGCTTGAGCTAAGTTCTTTTGGAATTAATGTTTCAAATAACAACTTTCTGGGGATGAGAGCTGCAACTGTAAAGCGAGTTGCTAACTTCCATGCTTCGTGAAGGAAACAACCAGATAAAATGGCTGCTCTCTACTTTTGTTGGCCACATGTTCCCACATCTGACACGATGTGGTCAGATGGTTGGGGTAGGCAGGAACAGGATAAAGAAATACTGTTGCACATTTACATTCTACCTCTGAAGCTGCTGTAATCTGCCTTGGGAAAACTCTCTGTAATTCTGTTTTTTTCCTCCACAATGTAGACATGAGAGAGAATTTGGCCCCCATTAGTTTTATCCTCAACATTTAGCTTCAATGGTACAGATAGTCATTGTACAACTCCACTGGGTTACCGATATGTCAGATTAAGGATTAAGAAGAAAAAAACATGATTAAGAAAAACGTCACCCATCTACAACAGTCTATGTGAAACACAAGGGAACAGAAAGAAAATCATGTTCTCAGTATTAATCAGTACAAATAAACACACATACACACCCCACACTTTCTCCATATTTCACTTTTCTATGATGGCATAAATGGTACATTCCATATTTGCAGAAGTATTGCCCCACATAGAGAATCTGACCTGTCTGTCATAATAAATCACTACAGAGGCTGGTCTACCACATGCAAGAGAGCCCTCTTGGGTAATTTTAAGTCTTTGCATGCAAGATATTCTCCCTTTTTTGCTAATTTCCTTTTGAATCTTATGTTTATTTAGAATACTTATGCACTATCAGCTACAAAACTTAGTACTACACAGATTGGGTAACATGGATGACCCATTGTGAGTATCCCTGCCTTGTAACATAGCTGAGAAGAGGTGGTTCGTGGATTTTGTGAAATCAGTGTGAAGTTCCTGTCCAACATGGCACGCATTCACAGCTAAAACTACACTGTTTTACTGATCAGCAGTGAGCAAATATATATGATTATAATGCAAGGATGATGTCCTTCTCATTTTCCCCTTGTAACCCCCTCCTCACCCCTTTCTCTTTCTCCTCTCTGTCACTATTTTGCTTATTTAAATATAGGAATATGGAGACTGCAGGTAAAACTGGCAACTCCAAAAATGAGCTGGCATCTTTGTAATCATTAGGAGACAATCTGAGTGACAGATGAATTGGCAGGGAGCAGGAAAGTTGACTTTACGTCTCATACTGCCCCAAGCTGGAAGCCTTCCACGTTTCCTTTTCCTTGCTTTCCTTTTGTTCATTGAAATACTGATTGTCGTAGAGTCTTTGTGCTTTGTATAATGCCCAACTCTGATGTAACTGGAACTCACATACAAAATGTGGCTGTTTACATAAGCATGCTAAAATACAGGCAGAGACAGTACAAGCATGCAAAAAATAGTCTATGAAGGGTTTTTTGTTTGTTTTTCTTCAACATTTACATGCACCAATTAATATCATGTTTGGTTCTGTACACTGAAGACTAGGTTTCACAAACATTCATGATCTTATCTGCTGAAAATCTTCTTGACAATTTCACAAGAGGTCAGTGTAAAAAGAAAAACCACAATGAAAAAATAAAAAATCCCTTATCCCTGCAATCTGATCTTGTCTTCATGCTTTTCATGTTGAACATTTCTAAAATGTCTCCTCTTCTTACAGTGTGTCATGTTAGATGGTCGGCTTAAAAGACAGATTAGTGTGTCAAGGATTTTCTTAGCCACTGGAATAGTTCTTCCTTATAAAGCCTTTGCCACCGCACATTGGCTTCTACTGTTTCCACAGCGCGAGAGAAAGAGACAGCAGCTCCCCCTTCATAACTCTTTATAAAGTTCTTTAGCTGGAAATAGAAGTTAACAGGTTAAATTTGCAGCACCTAAATAAAGCAAATATTTTCAGTGCACACAAGCAAGTCAGGCATTCAGGACAAACCTCCATGATCACTGTAGAAGTAAATGCAGTATTGGGTAGAAAGATTTAATAGGAAATGTAATAAGACAGCAGACTGTCAATTAGATGTGATGCAATTGCTTCACATTGCACTGGAAGATATTGACATGTCAGTGCTGGATCACATTAATATCATTACCTCCTTCCCTCCTACAGCTCAGCCATTGCACTCCGTAGATGGCTGCTCTACAATTTATTTCTACCTGAGAAACCAAACTGGGAGCACTGGAATTGCTTCTAACTAAGGTTTATTTGCAAATATCAGCAGAACGTAGCCCTGATGTCCTTTGGTTTTATCAAACTTCACAATATATAATATATAAAAGATCCATTTTTATGATATACTCTAGGTCAGTTATTGAAAAAAGGAAGGGATGGTTACAGTGTGAAGAGAATGGCAAAATAGCAAGTGGGCACTCATTTGACAATCTTTGAGTGCCTGGAACATATCCCTTCCCTTATGAGAAAACTTTGATCTTTTTCCTGCAGATTGAAAAGACCACTGCTGTGTTTTTGTGTATACTCAAATTGTAGCACCATCAACTGGATTAGTATAGCTAATGGCGGTGTGCTTTGAATTACTGTTCTTTTTAAGTGAGAATTGCAAGGCTGACCTGCAGAACAGATTCCATGTTATGTTGACTTGTATAAAATTAGGTGGCTTTAGCAACACTTATGAATAACTAGTGAATTTCTGTTTGCTGGTGACACCAAATTCACCTTGGTTATTAAATTCTGACTGCCACAAATCTCTTTGTGCATGGGCTCAAAGCTGTAAAAGGCTGATTCTGCAATTGTCTGATTCCCATCACAGTTAAAAGCATGGAAGGGACCTGGAAACTATCAAAATCAGACTTTACTTGATCTCTGTACTTTTTATACCAAAATGTTTACAAAAATTTAAAAGAAAGACCAGTTTCTTTAAGGGAAGTGTAAACAGGTAGCTTGCCAATGCTGTCATGGAGGTGGAAACTAACAGTACAAAAGGCTTCCCTGAGCAGGGCAGATACTCAAATCTGGCCAGCACTAGCATTCCCACCTGGGTAATTTTGAGGAAACCAGCTGCAGCCCTTCCCTAAGTTCCTGAGGCCACTAGACTTGAGTGCAGACAAGTGGTTGGATGCAAAATATCATACTGCAATCAGAGTTCAAGTAATGGTGATTGTTCTGCATAAGAACCATTGGATCCATTTGGGGCAAGGTTGAGCAGCTGCTAGGCAGGGCACAGCACAACTGCACAACCACCTCAGTCATGACAGATGTTAAGTTAAAATGAGAAATCTTTGCAATCTAAATAAGAAGTACTTTGCATTTACAACAAATTATTGTGGTCAGCATATTCAAGTTAACAGCTTTTCTCACATGGAAAATGCTGCAAGCAAGAGAAAAAGAGAGAATACAGTGGTAGCTTCTACTTTCAACACTGATGTTTTCAAGGGCTGGCCTCTGCAGCATAAATTAATGTGGATAGAAACATATCACCTTTAGTTTCTCAACCAACAGTCAAGAGAAAAAAACAAACCTCCATATCCAGCCAAGCACAAAGAGGTGCCTGCACAATCCCCCTTCTGACACCACCTCTACACACTTGTGTGATTTTGCAATCTGCTCCTCATCCTTGTGCTGTCCAACTGCATGGACAGTTGGGCCTTCAACTGCAGCTGAGCAACCAGAGTTTCTGGACAACTTTATTACCGATGCTGCCCGACCCCCTGCCTATGAAAAATACAGACCCACATGCCAAAAGTAATTTAAAATTTACCTCTCTTAGTTCTCCTTCAGTATTGAGGAATTCTGTGACCCCACTGACAAGCTTTGAATTCATAAATAATGCTTCTCCATACCTGCAAGGGCAAAAAGAAGATGCACAGAAAATTCGAAAGTAATCATCTGTAGGCAAGTGAAAAGGCATAGGACTGATTCTTGGAAATCAAGGAAATAGCACTGGAACTGGATACTGATATTTCAGTGGTTCACATTAGAACCCTAGACTGAGACCCTCTTGTAGGCTGAAATATTTGTAGTTATTTTAAGTCAGATGCTATTAAGCAGAACGGGCTTGACTACAGACACAAATGAGTGCTTTTGAGGAGGGGAGGACCACAAGAATACCACACACTTAACAGAACAGCTTTCCACATAATGGCACCAAAATACAGGTGCCAATGAAGGAGCGGAGCAACAACTATGGAGAAATATCCTGAGGAACCCTTCTAGCTGTACCATTAAAAGACACTTTTTGATATGCTGCAGCATTCTCTGCATTTTTTATTCATCCACCTCATCTACATTACAAATTGCCTCTCAGTAAGTGAACTGAATCAAATTTTATTGTTCCAGTACCTGATAATTAAAATAAATAATACTGATAGAGAATAATACTGCTAAAATAATCCCCTGGGCCATGATGTAGCATCTTCAAAGAACCAACCTGGAATGAAAATTTCAAAGCTTGGGCAAGGAATATTTATAGGATATTCAGCAACCATCAGCAACAACCTTCAGCAGACGGTTGCTTTGAAACTGACCATTCAAATCCTCCTGTTCATTTGCTTTTCCAAAAGTTTGTTTCATTCCTCCAAATGAAGCATCTACATCACTCCTGACCAGACTACTACTTAAGTCTTACATTTCACATTAAAATAGCTCGTGAGGTTTGTTGGTTTGTTGTGTTGTGTTCTTTTTTTTCTTTTAATCTCTAGCATGAAGAATATAATTCCACTGGAAAACCAAAGCAAGTCTTTTGTTCAAGTCAGATGTCATTCAGCATTGTAAAAAACATTTGATAAATAGTCATCCTTATCACCATCTGCACAGACGTCCAAAGCAATATCTAGCTAATCTGAACATGGCTGTTTTTAAGATAGAGAATCCAGCTCTCCTGTCAAATGTGTAAGTATTACCGAAAAACTTCACTGCAATCAAATTTATCTGGGGAAACAATTCAGTTCATCCTCCATTTTTACAAACTGATTCATAGAAGGAATTCAAAATTCAAAGTGAAAGGAACAAGCGCAGACACAATTTTCTGGTTTGCTTCTATTAATCCCAAATTAACCACCCTTAAATGCTTAGGTATTCTAAGATATAGTTCTTTCAAAGGGGAGAAGGAAAGAGAAGGAGAGAGATAGCCAAAGGGAGAAGGATATTAAGATGGAGAGGGAAGAGGACTACGTTCTCTTTCATAAGATTCTGCTTTTGGGAAGGTTTACACTATGTCGCTTGCTATCAAGCTTGTGTGAGGAGAAACACAGAAGTATCAAAAATCCTATTCCCTGACCACTAATACCTGAATTATTCACGGATATTTCAGCAAGTACATCTCTTTTCCCAAAACTTCAGTCACACTGGCATATACAGACATCCAGAGGCAAACATCTCCTATGGGAAGTATGGATTTCATGGTCCTTAAGCAGGTTTAGGCTTTCTAACAAAGCCCTTTATTATTACAGTCTCAGCTTAGACATAATTGACTGTTTGGAAAACTGAAAGCTCCTCTAGATGGGGTCTTTTTGACAAGGTTACCAATCCACTTCAGAGAAGCAACCTCATAAAAACAGCTGCAGGAGTTTTATTTTTCTTGCAGCCACCATAGCCACAGTGCAAACAAGAAGTAACAGAATTCCTTCGACTGAAAATGATACCTTCATGCATACCTGTGCTGATTACTGCCCATTAGGCATACTTGGTAAAAAGTCAGCCATTGATAGCAATCTCTGTACAAGCTCTGCTGGCAAAAATTCTAAAAGTGTCACCTTCAAAACAGTGTTTTGCAGATGTGAAACAGAAGAGTAAATTGGAAAAGTGTTTGGTCTTACAAGTGTCAGTCTTCTCACCCTTAACAGGAAAGACAATAACACTACAGAACCAGGACCTTACATGCCTGAACTCCCTGGAAACACTGTGCAGACACTGGCTCTCCACCTGCAGTTTTCCTTCTGTGGATGTAAACCTCCAGTGCTCCACATTTGTACAAGCTCTGCACTTGTGCAAACTCAAGAGGCAGCAAAGGCCATTTACTCCGGACAGATATAAATGCCTTCCCATATAGTGTCAAATATCCAAATGCTGACAAATGATTCAGCACTTCAGAATGAAGGAATTCTTATATTCAGTTGATGGATTAAATTTTCATGCACACACACACACGTGTACACAGGGTGAAAATACTTTAAGAGGTAGTGCATGCTCAGGTCATAAGAACTCAAGCATAGTATTTTCAGTTCTCTTTTTTAGAATTGTAGCAGTCTTAGTCCCACAGATTTCTTACTAAAGACTTGTTAGGTAACTCAAGTTTTAAGCCACTTTTATAAATTATATGAGTGATTTTGAAGACTTTATACATTATCAGTATGTTCTAGACAATGTGAATACAAGCATACCATAAAAATATGAAAGGTTAACAATATTTTGTGGTAATTCTAACTCCTTGACATGCTGTGTTTAAAAGTAAGAGGCAATAGCATTATAATTCAATTCCCCTCAGCTATTTCATATTACTACCTGAAACATCAACACCTTTTGTAATAAATTAAATGGAAAATACCACTGAGATATGACCCTATTAAATTAATTTTTTGTGCAAGGTGTTTTAATTTTAAATCAAATTAAATAATAAATTATAATTGTAGAAAAAGGATGCCTTGGGACAGAGTACACTTCAATCATAGAACCATAGAATGTTTGGAGTTGGAAGAGACCTTAAAGGTCACCCTGTTCCTATTTCCCCGCCATGGGCAGGAATATCTTTCATTAGACCAGGTTGCTCCAAGCCCCATTCAACAGTACCTCACCACCCTTACATTTTTTCCTATTATCTAATCTAAATCTGCCCTCTTTCAGTTCAAAGACATTACCCCTCATCCTATCACTAAAAAGTCCTTCTCCAGCTTTCCCGTAGGGCCCTTTCAGGTACTGGAAGGTGCAACAAGGTCCCCCCAGAGCCTTCTCTTCCCCAGGCTAAACATTTCCAACTCTCTCAACATGTTTTCTTAGAAAACATACTCCAGCCCTTGGATCATCCTTGTGGTCATCTGTGGCACTCTCTCCAAGAGGTCCATGTCCTTCTTGAACTATAATTCCACAATAAAGCTTGCATTTTAAAAATGTCCTAGTTTTGTGAGCTTAAATCAGAAGACTAATCATAGAATCATAGAACATTAAGGGATTGGAAGGGACCTTAAAGATCATCGAGTCCCAACCACTCCTGCCATGTGCAGGGACACCTCCCACCATAATAGGTTGTTCAGCCTGGCTTTGAACACTGCCAGGGCTGGGTTATCTACAACCTCCCTGGGTAAGATGTTCCAGTGTCTAACCATCTTCATAGTAAAAAATTTCTTCTTAATATTTAACCTAAATTTCTTCTCTTTCTATTTGTACCTATTACTCTTTGTCCTATCACTACAGTTCCTGACAAGAGTCCCTCTCTGACTTTCTGTAGGTACCCTTCAGATACTGGAAAATTGCTATGAGATTTCCATGAAACCTCTTCTCCAGGCTAAACAGCCCCGATTCTCTCAGTTTGCCTTTGTAGGTGAGGTTCTTCAACCCTCTTATTGACTTTGGGCTTTCCTCTGGACTTGCTCCAACAGTTCCATGTCCTTCTTATGTTGGGGACACCAGAACTGTACACAGTACTCCAGCTGGGGTCTCACAAGAGCAGAGTACAGAGGGAGAACCACCTCCCTTGACCTGCTGGCCAAGTTTCTTTTGATGTAGCCCAGGATTCGATTGACTTTCTGGGCTGCGAGCACACACTGCTGAATCACGTTGAGTTTTTCACCAACCATCATGCCCCAGTCTTTCTCAACAGGGCTGTTCTTAATCCCTTCTCTGCCCAGCCTTTAGATGTGCCTTGGATTGCATGACCCAGATGTAGGACCTTGCATTCTATCATGTCATTGTTTCACTGAACATTAAGGGGCAAGGTATTAGACTAATTCCACCCTCTCATTTCACTTAAAAGGTTCTAATCTATGATTACAAAACACTGTTATTTTCAATTTATATCACATATGTACAGCTTGAATTAACTATTTCATTCCACTGCATTGAATCTTTCAGTGATCAACAGAAACTCAACTGGATGTCACTTTCAGAAAAATCAACTGCTACAATCTTCTTGGTGGCTCTACTTATGTTTGGAGATCAAACTGAATGAAGACAACACAAAAACAGCATTGGGCAAAGAAACAGACTCTGTTATTTTCTCATTTAAAAAAGGACCATAAGTTTTTTGATAAGATCTTGCTGATTGTTAAGAATTCAGATTACACAGTGATGCATTCCAAGCAAGTGAAATAAATACAATTCAAATTCTAGGTGAAATCAAGCTATTTAAAATTAAAACACAAAAAAGATTTGGTATGTGGCATAGTTTTCTAAATATTGCCTGCTTGTCTACACTGCTTAACCTTGTCCACATCCAAAATCACAGGTGTTAGCTAGTTTGTCAGGTGAACAGGCTTGCTAAGGCAAGACACGACTACTGCCTATGTGTTTGCAGCAATACAGACTGTGACAGCTTTACGCCTAAACTCTGTATAAATCCCTGGAGGAACCTGAACAATTATTTGGTATCTGCACTGGGTTGCATAACAGTAATGCATTTGCCATTCATTTTCCATGTAGAGGTCCAACTCGTGGAATAATCACACCAGAAGCAGAGAATTCTTAATTTTTAAACTCTTCAGCACTCTTAAAGCTTTTCGGAAATGGCTGTCAAAAAGTATGCTCCTGCAATATAAACTTTCAAAACCAATTCCAGCTCAAACCTATTTTCCCAGCTGAACTACTTCTAAAATACCACTATACTAAAAATATTACCCAAACCAGCACAAACAACTTTCTGAACTTTTAAGAAAGTTGCTCAGTATCTGAGTTTCCTTGACGCTGTGAAATCTCTAGAAAGTTTGTGCCTACATTCATCAGGTACTGGGATTTAATTCCTTAAATACAGCATCTTAAATATACCATTTCAAATATTCTGTGGTACACTAGTTGGCTCCTCACAAGTCCAGAATGGAATGTATCTCCAATACCTTTCCTGCCAACACCACAGGAGTGGCCTGGCGCGGAACGTCTGAAATTCTTGGATACCTGACTTTAAGAACCCAAGCGTCACTTAAGTTATGGTCCCTTCTAATCTGTCAGAATCAGATAAGCTGCTGTGCAACCTTTCAGGCCCTCAGGCTGTCCCTAAAGAACTAAAAAATTTGTCCTTCATTGAATTAATATAAAAATCTTCACCAAAAAGCATTTTAAAATGTTGACTGGGCTTCTGAGTAGGAGCATGTAGCACTTGTTCAAAGAGAAAGAGAAGCAGGTGTAAGAAGGAACCCCATCCCCTTTCTGTTCATCTATTTTTAATTCAAAATGTTGCTCCTTTATTACCTGATACTCACCTGAAACACAGAGTGGAAAGAAAAGGGGTGACACTACATTAGCATCTTTTTGAAAATGGAAATGTTTCAAATGGGTTTGGTGGTTTTCTTCCACAGTTGAAATAACATTCTTAAAAAGATTACTTTTTCTACCAGACTTAAAATCAGTAAAAATGCTTTGGGAACTGCTGCTTTTTATCTCTGTAAAAGTAGAACTGCAGCACTTGACATATAGATAGAATTCATTATCATAAGCACAGACAGAATAAAGCAATATATATACAGATGATTGGTAAGAGACAAATATCTCTATGCATGTGTGTGATAATCCATGAATAAATGCATTTGTGACCTATATGTATGTATTTCATATTTAGAGACATCTCTATTTATGAATTAAAAGAGAATGGACTACATCCAGTAACTTATATGAATACACACATATACAATACTTACGTGAATTATATCAAGATAAGAAAATGAAAATAAATTTAGATGTTCTATCTTTACCTAGCATTCAAAATTTTCCATTTTTCTCTGAAAAATTTCCAAGCAAGATCCCTTCCATGTGGATTTCGAGCTACATGGATTATCACATCAATTGCATCCTGATCCAGGACAACTTCTGAGTTGAGAGACAAATTCAAAAGTCTAGTGGGAGAAACAAAAAAGAAATCCAGCTTAGTTTCACCAATACACAGTCTAACATAAGCACATCAGAAAGCTCTCAGAAAAAAAAAATCTCTGTCAAATAATTTGTTTAAGTCTCCAAGTGAGTTCAGTGGTTTATTTCTATGATTCCAAAGACTAAACGTGTTTATGAATCAGAAAAATCTTGATGTAAAAGGATCTAAGTATAAGGTGAGTGGAGCTTTATGTGTGCATTTTTAGGAAATCTCTAAGATTGGTCAAGACTGATCAAGATGCTTAAATGATACGCTAACAAAAAAATATCGGCAATTACAGGATTTCAAACATTTGCAATGAAGGTAGGAAAATCTGGAAGTGAAAAGATATAATATGCATCAATTTTTATACATAATAATGCAAAAGCATAAGAAGATTTAAACAGAGAGTAAGTCTGTGCTTGAAAAGCAAAGTTCTTTCATTTAGACCAAACCTCAAGTGATGATCCATAAATTTTGAAGCGATTAATGGTAACAGATTCAGATATAAAACATTTTTGTACCTGTTGAGCAAGTTTCTGTCATCACTGCAAGTTAAGGCTTCTAATAATATTTTCTTTTCAGACACTGCTGTTGTAGAATGAAATTTCATCCAAATGAACTCCCATACATCTTCATCCATCAGTGAAACTCCTGTACAGTAGACAATGTCTCTCACATTGAGTGGGATTCTACAAAAGAAATCAGTAATAGCATTGTGTTAAATAAGCAGCCTCCTGATACTGGAAACTGAGGAGGAACATTTATGAGACTTCAATGTGCAACAGTAATCTTTCTTTTGAAAATTACACTTGCATTTCTTTACTGCCACCAACATCTTCCAGGCCATCCTAATGGATGCATCCTAATGCGTAACACATGCTTACCATTCTTTTCATAATGCTGTCATGTTGGCAGGAGACTAGAAAACATGGTCATATAGTTCATCAACATATAATGTGCCACATAACCTACAGGTAACACAAGCTCTTTAAATTAGTATAGGATCTTATCATTCTCTTGCTGGGCTCTGTGCCAAATCTGCTCTTCTTGTCCTTAGTGTGGTTTTAGAATAGGAGCTGATCAGCCAGAAACTCCTACTTGCTTGTGTTGAAAAGTGATCCATCTTCATATGGTAACATACAAGTAAGGAAGAAAGTTCTGTGACAGTGCTACTTAAACAAGGTATTGTCAGGAGGGAAGAAAACAGAAAGACCTGTACATTTTTTTTCAGCATATTAATACCAGTACAAAACCAGCTATGCCATAAGGTAGTTGTGAACTGTGATTAGTGCTCAATTAATATCAACTCAGACTACAGCTGAATGACAGCTTCTTGAAGCCAAATTCAGACTGGTATAGTATGTGCATATGTACCATTTTCTTCTAAAAAGATCTCAGCTGAGCATTCAATATCCTACCCTGCTTATGTTTCTTATACAAGCATAGAAGCTGAAACTTCTGTGAGCTAAAGGGTATTCCTACAGGTAAAACTAGACATTTCTCAGAGGAATATGTTTCTGATTTTCAGGAAAAAAACACCTTCTTTTTGACAGTGAAAATTATACCAAAACACATTATACCAATAACGGCTGGGCTGAACCACCTCTGGAACTTCATATGCAAGACCTCTTTAGAGAATCTAGAAGTGCATAGAGTTGCTGTTAATGTCTGTATAGTAATACAGCAGGACAAAAAATTAAATGACTGCTATAAAACTTGACATCAGAATACACAACAGAGGAGAAAAAAAAAAGTTACATCAATACTTTAATTATAAGAGGATTTCACCAAAGTCTCATACTATAGACATTGTTAATCCCAGTCAAGAACAAAGAGGTTCTTCTACACCTATCTATTAATTTTCCAGAAAAAAATTCCTATATTGAAATGGAAAAAGACCTTTCTTTCACTCTGTGATGAATGCCTTTATCAAAAACTCAGGCTGATCTCTTTGGCCATGCCTGAGTCCCTGGAAAATGAAATCAGTGTGGCTTTTTGGCATTTCAAAATTTTGGTTCCTCTTCAGTACCTCAGAAGGAAGCAGACAAGGTAAGGGACCATATACTGATGGTTGTGAAGGGTTACAAACTGTTGCTTCCACTCTGGGTTAAGTGGCTCCAACAACCATGATGGATTCTTAAGAAAAAGAATAAAAAGAATACGTAGCTAAACTGAGGCAAAACTAAGGGGAAATAAGTGCACTCCTACTACTATCGGCTGAAAAACTTCAGGGAACTTTTGCCTCCTGCATTTTTTTTATGCTTTCTCTGAGCAATAAAAAGTCTTGAGGTTGAGGCTTTATTCGTATTCTCTGATTTTAGAAAACAACTGATTTTAGACCCTCAAAATGTACTGCAATGAAACACCACAAACTACTCTTGTGAGAGGCTGGTAATCAGGACTGTATACAGGGGGATTCTTCTTGTGGAAATGAAAATTGTTTATGAAAAAAAGAACATCCCCAAAGCAATTTCTCATTGCACCAAATGAGAGTCCTCTAATTGAATTTTCTTCATTTGTGGGGATTTTTGCTTTCTCTCTCTTCCAGTCCTTATAGGAGTGTATTTCATCTCATCTAAAGAGTTGAAATCTGAAATCTCCCCAGTCTACACAATTTTTAGTATTATAGCTTCATGCAAAATGCTGTCCTAAAATTGCAGTTCCAAGGTACTAGATGTTTGGAATGTTTGCCCCTTGTATTAACTGAATCAAGTGGATAAAATTACCATTGTTTCAATACTGCTTAGGTAGTAACACTGCAAAACACAACCCCTTGTTATATTAAACTTTGTCTGGGCCTTCAAGGTTGCTCTCATTTTTAAAGAGCTAATATGATTGATGGATACTTCAGAAGAATAAAAATAAATGCCTCTGAGCATCACTTTAAATGGCTTTTATTTGAATACTGATCCAATTTATTTAACTTTATTTTTCTTGCTTAAGAGATACGATGGTGAGAATGAAACATGTAGCTAGCAGAGCTCATTTAAAAATTAAACACTTTGGGAAAAAAGTTAAAAATTAAACAGTTTGAAAAAAATTAATTAAAATCGTGCTGTGCCTTTACAGGCTTTTTTTTTCAAGAGTGAATTATAAAGCTCTACAGTGAGCTAAGAATAATCTTCTAAGTTATAATTAATTGGTACATACTTGCTCCTAATTAAAGTATGTTCTAACAATTGAAGATACACTTTTAAAATTGGACCATAATTGTTTATCTTCTGGGCAAATTGTGTTCTAATTTTTTAAAATGTAAATGCACACAGTTTTGACAGTTCTTTGATTAAGTAACAAACTTCAACACCATTTAGGGTAGTATTTGACAAAGAAAATTAATCAGAAACATTATTTTTGCAACAATTTAACATTTAACTTGAACCTATTTTTCTTGATGACTATATTTATAGTCTTGTTTAATAGGTTACAAGGCTCAGATAAGAAATAAGAAAAAAGTATTAGTACTTTGCTGGCATATCTTTAATACAGATTCTAATATAAGGAAGAAGACCACACAAAATTTATTTTTTAACACATCAGTCCCAAATCTTACACTCTCAGTCCCTATTACAAACTCCAGGCGTCATGCTGTTGGCACCACTGTGCGGAGAAATGGGATGATCCTCTGTCATAGTACATACTCAGTCTAGAAAGAAAGGGAAGAATTTCCCCTTGAAAATTGAGGCACAGAGCTGTGATGGACTTGACATTCAGGTGCCTGTCACACATTGAATTCGGGGGACATAACTGAGGATGAGGGTACTGAGGGTGTCTGTCTGGGGCAAAACTGTGCATGGTCCTTGTCCTGTGCTTCAAAGCTTCAGGTATCATAGAGGTCTGACAGAGGCAGGCAGAGAATACATCATCCCTCAAGTGATGGTTACTTTTACTGTTCCTTTATGTTCCTATCACAGATAACCCATAAGTGAACGTGCAACTAGCACACTCAAGCTCTCCAACACTGATTTTAATGAGTGATGAGTTAAGCACTTCTTCATGAATCTCTGAGTAAATATGCCTTGTTTTGTCCATTCTGGACAGTTCTTGCAATAAAAATAAAGTCCTCTCTAATCAGCTGATTTGCAAAGTTGTGGAGAGATCATTCCCGAATGATTGGAGAATAATCTTCCTAAATTCTAAGGAATGCAAATTAATTACTGCTAATACATAATCACTACATATAGGCTCATTTTATTGTGATGACACATGGAAGTCAGAAGGTAAAAACACTACCTAAACTAGCTGCCCCATAAAGCCCAGTTTTGTCTTTTGAGAGATGAAGTCCTCTTTCTATTTAGACATACACCCCAGATGGTCTTTCAGAGCACTAAGTCCTTGATTAACTCATTCACTCAACAGTGTTTTCTTCCTCCTTAAACAGTTTTATTGACTTAAGAGCAAGATTCTACTCAAATGTTGTAACAATCTATTAATTATTAAATCACTTCAGCAACATTGGTTCACATTAGCTGGCACAGCTCCAGTAACATTTCAAAATGCATTAATAGCTATGCCTGAATTTTTTCAGTAATTAAAACTGCTAGGGGTTGAGAAGGCAGAAGAACGGATTCATTTTATTGTTTTACATTTATCAGACACTCATGTGTGAAAAAAATGAAAATAACTCTCATTTTTTCATGCTTGCTGCTAATGATTTACAAAAATAGCTGGTGGGCATCAAGCCCTTGAAAAAACCTAGTGCCTCTTCCAAAAAACTGACAAAAATAATTAACCTGTTGGCCATGTTCTCACAAGTACTTCGGTAGGTGGTTAAACTTAAGTACACTTACAAGTTATTGCAAGACTATAGCACTACTGTGTCCATGTGAAACACAGCAATAAAATTACCGATTTCAAGTAATTAGAGAGATAATGGAGGAGGAATAGGAAAGAAAGAAATGCTCCTCTGGAAAACCACTTTTTTTTCTATCACCTAAGCCAGATTTCATTGAAATTACATCAACTAATGACTGGTAATTTTTTATCTACTACTCCTTCAGATTTATGGAGAGTTTCATGAGAGAGACATGTTTCATGGAGAGACATGTTACAGCCTCCCATACACTTCTGCAATTGTTTTTCTGGTGGCATTTCCACTGAGTACCACCAAGTAAGCACACTGCCAATTCAGGCTGGTGGATGGACATGAATCTGTTATTCCTTGTAGAGGAAACACAAAACCTGAATGAATAAGTAGGAGGTTCAGAACTTGCAAATTAGGCTTGTTGGTTATCACTGTCTTTCAAATCACGTGATGGAAGACATCTTACTTCATTACTTACACCTTTCTTAAGACTGATAAAGAATTAACAGTGTTCCTAACCATCACAGCAATGTACAAGTCTCTGTGATGGCAAACAGAACTCACATTAATACCCTTTAAAAGATTATATGAGTATATAGTGTGCAATCATCCAAAATCCTGATTTCATTTTTTAGTAACCAAAAGTGCCTCATTTGTAATGCAAATTGACATAAAGATGTGTTCTGACTTGAAGCCCACAGATCAAACAGGAAAATTCATAGTTTATTTTCTTTCCAGCAATCTCTGGCCCTTACCTCAGCATCCCAAGACTTCTCAGAACAATCTGGATAATTAGAGATCAGCACAGATTTAAAATATCTATATTTGCATTCAGGATTGTCCATCAGTCTCTATTTCTCTTCATTCATGGAGACAAATGCAAACTTC